TGATGTCGGGGTTGCACTGAGTGACAGGGCTGAAGTCGCTATGCTTGTCTGAATGCCAATCAACAGTCGGCCATGCGCAGTTAGACTACGCGCTTCATGTAAGTTAACTAGGTGCTGAGATGTTACGCGTGCCTTGTTTACCATCTCCGCCTATGCACCTAAAGACAGCAGCCCGGATGCAGTCAAAAATTTCCTTTACCAACAGCTGCATGACTTCTGCTTTCCGCTAGGAACTCTGAAATTGTCATTCTTGCCGGGGACTTTAACGCTCGGGTTGGCCGCCTTCCACCAAGCGAGCACCATCTTGGGGGTAGTTTTGACCTCGATAGCAGCCGCTCAAAAAATGGAGACAGAATACTGACGCTTAGTTCTGATCATTGCTTGTTTCTTTTGAGTACAAGCTTTTGTCATTCGAAAACACAGACTTCTACCTGGCGTCCGCCTTCTCAAACACAAGAATGGGTTCAGTTTGCCACATAGCAATAAGCTACAGATGGCGCGGAAGCGTAACAGACTGCCGATCGTAGTGGTCAACTTGTCTGGACTCCAGTCACGCACTGGTTCGCCCCAAAATTTGCACGCGTTTCGCAGGATCAACCAGAGGTACGTACTATCGACCGAATGTCAAAAATCTGCAATATCCTGCGACGTTATCCAAGTACCAGGCTTCTCTGACGTTTGTCTCAATTCGCAATGGATGCGCATCAAAGACGCTTTACGTTTTGCAAGTACTGTCAGTTGTGGATTTGTTTGTCACCCGCCGAAAAGCTGGAGCACTACTGTCTCCTTGTCGCTGACAGACAGACGCCGCTTGATCACAGCCAACACCAGCTGTACTGAGGAACCCCGATTCCTGGATCAAGCGTTACGCAGAAGCTTACGGAATGACCGTGAGACCTGGTGGTGGGAACATGCCAGAGAGCTTAAACTTGCTACTCTCTCCGGTAATACCAGAAAACTGTTCCACCTCATCCGAGTCACTGTAGGCTTCGGATCAGGAATAAGCAAAGCCACCTGCGAAGGTGATTTCTCACTAACCATTAATCTTCAGCGACGGTTGGAGCGCTGGGCCGAACATTTTTGCTCGCGGTTTTCTTGGCCACTAGCTCCATTTCTTTCCCTGGGGCGCGCACTGGTGATGAGTGGACTATCCTAAATGATCCTCCCTCTCACCAAGAAACCTGGCGGGAAGTCTGCTACCTAGAGCGTTATATGGCACTCGGCCCTGATGGTCTACCCCCTACTTTACTTAAAGATGAGGGCTCTTTGCTGGTTCGACAAACTCACTGCTTTGTTCTCAAAATTCGGGGCACAAGAGCAGGTTTCATCATCCTGGATTGAGTCGGTAGTCGTCGCTCTCTTCAGAAAGAGCCTGCGTACAAATTGCTCCAATTACAGGGGCATAAGTTTGGTTCCTGTCGTTTGCAAGATTCTGGTGTCCCTCCTTCTTTGCAGGCTATCCTCAATGCGTGAATCAGTACAACGGGAAGAACAGGCTGGACTCCGCCCTGGTCGCGGCTGCATCGATCAGATTTTCACACGCGGCTAGATTACCGAGCTCCGCCATGTGTATCAAAAACCAACGATTATTGTGTTCCTGGATATCCGTGCTGCCTTCGATTCTATCGAAAGGGTTGCATTGGGGCACCGTCTGTTGAGGAATGGTGTTCCCGGGAAGTTCGTTTCCATTCCGCATGGTCTGTACAGTCTGACCTCGAGGTAGAGTTAGGGCTTATGGCAAGCTTTCGCCTTCCTTTGTTGTCACCAGTAAGGTTCGACAAGGATGCCATATTTCTCCATTCCTCTTTAACTTTGCCATTGAGGATGTCCTCAAAAATGCTATAGAAAACTCGTTGAACGCTTGTGTTCGGCTCCCCCCAGGTAGTCGGGTAGTTGATTTGGATTACGCTGATGATATCGGCTTGTTGCGTGACGGTCTGCAGGCCGTCCAAATTGCACTTAACCGCCTGGCGATTAAAGCGTCGAAGTATGGCATGCACTTTTCACCATCCAAGTGCAAAGCGCTTTTCCAAGACTGGTATAGCCCCTAACTGCATTCATCATCGATGGGGAAACGTTAGAAATAGTACAGCGTTTTGTTTACTTAGGAAGCTGCATAACTACTGGTGGGGCTGTTGCAAACGCGATTTCGATGCGTATCTCAAGAGCTCTTCTCGTCTACTCCAGGCTGAGGCATTTATGGCACCGCCATAACATCTATCTCTCCATCAAAGGACGGATGTATAGTGCTACTATCCGCGCTGTACTGTTTTACGGTTGCCAAAGTCGGCCTGCTCGTACCGATGACCAAGGTCGACTCTCTGTCTTCGAGAACCGTTGCTTGCGGTCCATCGTCCGTATGTGGTAGCGGAACCACGTAACCAAGGCTGAAGTCAGACAGCTTTTCTTGGGTGGAAATACCCATTCCCTCGAGGCGCTTGTCTCGCTGCGCCAACTACGATGGCTCGGACAAGTACTGCGTATGTCTGTTCAACGTCTTTCGCGTTATGTCTTGTTCGTGGTGGCTGGACAGGGTTGAAGGAGGCGGTGTGGTGGACAGCCTACAACTTGGAGAAGCAGGAGGAAAAATTGACAAAAAACCTGGCCACGGTTGGTTCCTCCCGAGTCCCTGGATTGGGTCCCGAAGATGCTGAGCACAGTTGGTGGGAAACCTTGGACGGCATGGTGCAAAACCGAACTCAGTGGCCAGCATATATCTCTGATTGGTACAATGATTCCCCTTCCCCCCCCCCCAAAAGAAACAAACAACTCAAACACTGTGAGTGGAAAAATGGACCGAAAGTTTTGGTTTCGTCCTTCTTTTACTCTAACCCTGTTTTCCTATTCCGCCATGGTTTCGATGGCGCAATATCTGTACACAGATGGTGATTATATATATGGTTGGCGGCATCCGGTTTCGGATTTGCCTGTCACTGTGGCAAGCCACAGGACGCCTGCGCCTACAGAGGGACCATGGGATGGCTTGCGCTGCACCACCCACAGCTCCAACCACACACCCCATATCCAGTGTAAACCCGAAGGAATAAGACCGGGAGGCATGCGGATGGGAACCACGTTTCATCAACGGAGCCGGGCCCACACTCCTTCACAGGCAAACACAAGCACACTGTATTTGGGAATCAAGCGCACACAAGGCGGTGGCTGGACCGTAGTCCGCTCCACACTGAGTGCATGGAACCACTCTTTGAGCCTAGCACGGCCACAAGGACCGTGCACCCCGTCCCCTCCAGCAACGACCAACTGTCTCCTGGAGCCAGTATGAACGATGTAGTGGGTAATAGACAGGTAGGCACCTTGTCAACATACACATCAAGCGCAACCACACCGGGGATATCAAACAACAGCCATTCACTTTAAACGACAAGCTGAAATAAAATAAATCCAACAATGCATACAGACACGGTGGCATAACTCTTCGCTAAATTACCATATGAAGTAAGTTGGTCAGCAACAAATCCGTGATAAGTAAG